AAATTAGTACTCTTCAGAGATTGGATCCGTCCGGAAAGAAGAAATTTTGGACTTGCTGAATCACAACAAGAGGTAGACGAAGCTTACGAAGAAATGCTAGCTGAACTTGCTGAGGATGCTTCTTCGCCCGACAATGGAAGCGGCAATGACCAAGCTACTTTTCCGCCACCGCGAACGGAACCTCCTTCGGACCTTGAAGGATTTATGAAGTTTGTAACAGATAGCATGTAGCTTCTATGAACAAAAATTAGTATGTATTATGTAACTTGTATTTTGGCACATCTTGATTAGTTCCTTTTTCTTCTCAATGGTGGTATTAGCACCTTGTTGTGCTCATTCCATGGGGGGAAGGAAGACTAAGAAAGATATTGCCATATTTTTTATTGCTATAATAAAATTACAAGGCATTGCTTTTGAATATCTTTTTACAATATTTTTGTCTTTAAATTTGAATTAAAAATTTAGGTTACAATTCTATATTAAATTTACAAGCCGTTGCCTTAGATATTTTTTTAAAATCTTTTTGTCTCTACTTTCTATTCAATTTTTTTAAAAAATTTACGGCTTAGCCGTTGGGCCCATTTAGCCCGCAAGGACCGCGGTCCCGACCCGTTTAGGCCCGGTCCACTTGCCATCCCTACATAACACATTATAATATGCACATAAGTCAAACTACCATCTTTAACCTTGTGTTGACTCAAATAAGATTGTACTATGAAATTGAACTAAAAAACTAATCTTTTTTTATAATTAAATAATGGAGACTGAATATGTAGCTAGTAATTAGAGTCGCCAGAGAGAAGACTGAGTATATGCTGTCATATTGACGACACAAGTTAGGGAGGATAGCGCCCTTGGTCGAGATGATTATAAATTTTGACAGCAACCTTTACAAGGCGCCAGACTTTTCAGATATATATATATATATATAGTGATGAGTAATCATCCATGAAATGAACTCATGGTTTATGCACTTTCAGTATAATCCTCAAGTTCCAACGTTACTATCCTCTTCTTTAAGATTACCAACTCATGTTTTGTGTAAGAACTTATCTAAGGCCTGGCCGATTGGGTAAATAATTATAGACCATCAATGAATAAAAGTTATAAAGTAAATGAAAAAGGAAAAGAAATTACTCGGAAAAAAGAAAACAGAGAGAGAAGAACTAAACTGGCGTTTGACCATAGATCCCAAATTTATTTTGAAAAATCTAATTTGGGTGAAGTTTGGTTTGAAGATGAAAATGTGTTTGAACATACGTTTTCAAAATATATTTTCCAACTTTATTTTGGAAAAACATGTATATAATTCCCAAGTTTTGGGATTTTGGCCCAAAATCAACTCAATAGCTGATTTTGGGATTTGAAATTTGGGAGTTGGGATTTGGCCAAAATATGAGCAAAATTTATGTCCAAACATGAGTTTTGAAAATAAATCCCAAATTTTTTTTGGGAAAACTCATGGCCAAACGGGACCTAAATTCCCATGGAAGAGAGATTAACTAAATAAGATAGATATTGTTCTATATATGTATATCAAGTCTCAAGATTGGATTGTAATACCAACCACCCGCTCAAGTTTCGTTACAAAACTCGACTATATATGACTCAGAAAGACTCAAATAAAAAGAAACAGACAACAAATACATAGTAATGGATCCTTAAGCAGAATCAAAAACTCGATCCATCTTCTTATTATGATTGTGCTACTTCCAGATTTGTTCGAAGAAAAACTGATCTTTCATCAACCTCACTAGACCCTGCATCACCAAATTTAACCAACATTAATCAAGATCGGTATACCTAACATGTTATTACTCTATTTTTCAAGATTGATATGAAAAGCTACGTATTGTTGTAAATTGCATAATCTGATAGCGTAACAGATAAATACAGGAATTAATAATGTACCTGGAGCAGTCAGTAGACCGATCTTGTAGGGAATGTTAATGCCACAGGCACTAGGAAGTCCAGCGGCTTTGCCCATATTAATTCCCTTAATAGCATTAGCAGCTGATTTCAGGCAAGTGCATGCAGTTTTGCGGTCGCTGGGGTCCGGGCAGCACCCAACAGGCCTTTAATGTTGCCACAACAACTCCCCAAAAGGCCACGGCCCTGCAGATAAGGGAGGCAAGGAGCCAGGCCAGACTGAACCTGGCCGCAATAACTCTGCATGGGGTGCAACCACTACCATGCAGAGTAGCACAAAGCATGCAATCTTGCCAACCATTTCCATTCTTAAAAAGTTAGAGAAGTTAAAACAGAAGAGATTTTGGTTCTATAACTGTACTAGTAGTGGCAGAAAAAGTATATTTGATTATCATGGCTAATTGGACAAATAAGGACCAACAAAAGAGAATGATTAGTGTGAAGAAAAAGAAAAAAAATACTAGTATTATCTTCTTGTATATGTCGGCACTTCACTAGCTAATTAGACAATCACGGTTAAGACAGGAGCGGCACAAACACATGTTATCTAAAGCCAAATTTAATATGAGGCCTAAATTTTTAAAAGAAAGTTATGATATATATATTTTTATTTGAAGTCTATTTTTTCTATCTTTTCGAGATGTAAAATTGTTAAAAAATATTTATAATCGATTTCCTCTAATAATTCCTTTTCAATTGATAATCATTTAATTCATCTCGAGACATTATTAATCTCAGGTAAGATTTTATCAATTATAATCTTGAAAAACTTGTTTTCTTTAAGGCAACTGTTATAGAAAACTCTACTTTCGTATGAAAAATACTAACTTATTTTTTAAATACCTATAAACCTATTATTTCTAAAAAACGGGGCTCCCAAAATTTGGGGACCTAAGGCAAAAGCCTCACTTGGGACAACATTAGAGCCGGCCCTGGGTTCAGAGATGGAAACCAACATCATTTAGCAGTACACAGAACACGTTATTATTAAACTCAAAATATAACAGTGAAATGAGTAAAGCAATTCAGTAAACAATTTTAGGTGGAGTTTGTGTTAGGACCGGAAAAAGTCAGGTGTCATGCGGAAGCTAGCAAAACAAATCTTGAACGACGATAAATCACACAACAAAGAGAAATCCACCAAAAGAGACACAAACATTTAACATGGTTCAGTCAACCGACCTACGTCCACGACGGAGATGAGCAATCCACTATAATAAAAGAGAGTACAAAATATCGAGAGAACAACCTCACAAAGAGGCAAACACAAGTGACACACTAACACTTGTCCCGTAAAGTTCTCCCCCTAAACAAGACTCTCAAGCCCCCTATGGCTACATTGTGGATGCTACTGAATGTGAAGGAAGGATCCTCAATTTATAGAAGTCCAAACCTTTTCCTACAAGAAAAAGGACTAGCCAAATATTGGAGATTTATAATTTCCTTTTACAAAAAGGAAAACCCATTTAAGGTAATTATATTGCCCTTTTCCTTCAAGAGATAGGAAAACCAAACATGGTAAGAAAATTATGGCAAACACCTAAAAATTCTCCCCCTTGGCCTGAATTTTCTGACAAAATAAACTTGATCCACCTTCTTCACATAGCCTTCAACAGGTCGCATCTCCAGATCTCCGCCACAAAGTTTGTCTCAACGTGCGTAGCACTCCGGTCAAATTTCTCAGACAAAAATCACGATTATCGTCAAATATGTTGCAGCTAGAACTGAACACGCCAAGATGAACCTGTCTTGAACCTTGCTCTGATACCACTTGTTAGGACCGGAAAAAGTCAGGTGTCATGCGGAAGCTAGCAAAACAAATCTTGAACGACGATAAATCACACAACAAAGAGAAATCCACCAAAAGAGACACAAACATTTAACGTGGTTCAGTCAACCGACCTACGTCCACGACGGAGATGAGCAATCCACTATAATAAAAGAGAGTACAAAATATCGAGAGAACAACCTCACGAAGAGGCAAACACAAGTGACACACTAACACTTGTCCCGTAAAGTACTCCTCCTAAACAAGACTCTCAAGCCCCCTATGGCTACATTGTGGATGCTACTGAATGTGAAGGAAAGATCCTCAATTTATAGAAGTCCGAACCTTTTCCTACAAGAAAAAGGACTAGCCAAATATTGGAGATTTATAATTTCCTTTTTTACAAAAAAGAAAACCCAGTTAAGGTAATTATATTGCCCTTTTCCTTCAAGAGATAGGAAAACCAAATATGGTAAGAAAATTATGACAAACACCTAACAGTTTGTAGTTTTAGCAGAAGAGCTGCTTAATCAATAATTTTTTTGCAAAAGAAGTAAACTTTTTATGGAAGGTCAAAATTTTAAAACTTTTTTGCAAGAAATTCTTGGAAGCTAAAAATATCCGTATGAACAAATTTCGAATCCTCGAATGGCTGTGACCGTAAAATTTAAATCCTAGAGTCGCCTCTGCCTACCCTTATTGATCATCTTATTGTTGATTTTGTCTGAATTCACAAGCAGGGGTAGGACCAGTGGCGGAGCCACATTGAACCAAGGGGTGTCAAGCGACACCAGAGGCGGATCCAGGATTTAAATCTTATGGGTTCAATTTTAAGATTTTTAACATTGAACCCATTATATTCTTAAAGTTATGGGTTCATATATACTATTTTGCAATTTTAATGAATTTTCACATACAAATTTTTACTCCGCGTCGAAAGTTATGGGTTCAGTTGAATCCGTAAGCCGTACACTACATCTGCCTCTGAGCGACACCCCTTCGCCGGAATTTACACTATATTGCTAGATAAATTTTTTTATTTTATGTATATTTATAATATGTTGACTCCCCTTGACTTTTCGATGCATCTAATTATTTATATTTTGACACACCCTTTGATGAAAATTCTGGCTCTGCCACCGGTAGGACTCAGAGAAATAGAGTCTCCAATATTACTCCCAAAATTGTCACCACATATGAGTTGTTCGAAAAGCCTAAAATGATGCTCTTTGCCAACTTTCTGTATAAAATATTCTGCCCCAACCAATGCATTATATTACTTTCACTTCACTCCAAAAAATAATCCTCTAAAAACTCTCATGTCTCATCATTCTGTTGCACTTACATTTATCCCTCCAATCACTTTGCCTTGCTTCATCTTGCAGTTAAGCTTTTCTCTGCTTCTCCATTGTGAATTAGTGCATATCCATCCTTTCAACATGCGATGGACAAAATCTGCCAAAAGAAAACTCTCTTTTCCCATAATCACAGCCATTATCTGTACTTTAACCTTCATTTTTCTGTTGTACACTGAGATGATCAGTACTATTTCTTCTGGCTCTATTTTGAGGTTTAAGCCTTGTCCCAAAAGAAATTCTGCAGGTGTGCACCAGCTTGTCGATCTTAATTGCTTTCGTTATACTTTTTTGTCGTGCTGATATATGTTTTCTTTCTTGGCTTAATAGATGATAGAGAATTGGAGAGCGATCAACTAGACAATCCAACAGACGATAGTCTTGATTTTGATCCTGATGAATGCAGTGTCACACATGGGAAATGGGTTTTTAATACTTCAGTTAAGCCATTGTATTCAGACAGGACTTGTCCTTATATTGATAAACAATATTCTTGTATTAAGAATGGCCGAAACGATTCAGATTATCGATACTGGGAATGGCAGCCTGATAACTGCATGTTGCCAAGGTTAGCAAGTTACTTAAAATATCAATTTCAGTTTTTCTCTATCTGTAAGTAAATTACCATATTGCAAAATGAAAGAAATAGTAGGATTCTTGATTCTTGTTTCATGCATACTTGCACAGGCGAACTCAGGATTTAAAATCAGTGGGTTCAGAATGAGTGTGATCTTATTATATGTTACATTTTAAACTTATTTTTTTCTGTATGTATACATAATTCGAGATAAAACCAATCAGTTCGGTTAAAGCAACATGAGTCGCCCTAGATCTGCCTCTGCATATAGTACTTTAACTGAAATATTGACAATAAAATGGAGATCTTTTTTCTTATAATGATGAAATAAGGTAGTTCCATGAAATGACTCAATATTCAGGTTTGATCCTGAGATTGCCCTCAGGAAGCTTCGAGGGAAGAGACTAATGTTTGTAGGGGATTCACTACAGAGAAATCAATGGGAATCTTTTGTGTGTTTGATTGAATCTGTAATCCCACAAGGCAAGAAATCCATGAGACGTGGCCGCGTTCACTCTGTATTCAAAGCTAAGGTAAATCACCATATAACTCAAACTATATATAAACCTTGTCTGTGTTTGAAAATCTGCTTAATTTGCACTTATTTGGCAGGAATATGATGCCACCATTGAGTTCTATTGGGCTCCATTCTTGGTCGAGTCTAACACAGATATTCCTATTAAAAGTGATCCAAACCAGAGAATAATTAAAGTGGACTCAATTGCACAGCGTGCGAAACACTGGTTAGGAGCAGACATCCTTGTTTTTAATACTTATGTTTGGTGGATGAGTGGACTCAAGACCAAGGCACTGTAAGTTCTTCAATTATAACAGCGGAGCCAGAAATTTTAATAAGAAGACACAGGCTAACCAGTTTTCGGACTGGTCATTCAAAAATAGCCAGCGTTTGCAAAGTCATTGAAAAATAGCCACTATTTTGCTGCAACACGGAAAGTTCCAGCATAATATACTAGAGATCGGTGCACCTGTGTATGAACTTCCAGCATATTATGCTGGACCGGTATATTATACTGGAACTCCGCTATAATATGCTGGAAGTCCAGTATATTGTATACTGGAACTCCAGAATAATATACTAGAGTTCCAGTATACTTTGCTGGGGAACTACAGTATATTATACTGGAATTCCAGTATTTTATGCTGGAGTATTTTCCGGATTTTGAACAGTGCTTTTGTTCAGATTTATCTTTACATGAAAAATGACAAAATTTCGATTACTTTTGAAACTGTGGCTATTTTTGAATGATCACTTGTAAATCTGATTATTTTTGGATTTCTCCCTTCAAAAAGATATTGAGTTCCACATTTGGAATTTGAACATGCAACCTATATTAATCATTTTTTGAGCTACCCTACCACTAAACTAAAAGTTTCCATTACGTTGCAAGTGAATTCAACAATTTTTTATATATATAAAAGAAAATCTTTTCACTTATGCACAGTATAAGTTTTCGAAGAAAATGGATTAAATTGAATCCTTCAGACCATATAGAAGAATTTCTACTTGGCTTTGCATATAATGCTTTTAAATTGATCAAAAAATGCAGATGGGGCGAATTCGAAAATGGAGAAGAAGGTTATGAAGAATTAGATACAACAGTTTCTTACAGAGTAGCATTAAGAACATGGGCAAATTGGATTGATTCAACAGTTGATCCTAAAAAAACACGAGTTTTTTTCACTACTACGTCTCCTTCACACCAAAAGTAAGTTATCATAGCAAACAAACATAGTTATTTTCTAGTGGAACGTAAACTACCTCAAGCTTTTTTATGCATATTTCAGAAACAAAGAATGGGGGAACATAAATGGGATCAGGTGCTACAATGAGACAAGACCAGTAATGAAGAAGGGATTCTGGGGAACTGGTTCAAACAAAGAGATGATGAATGTTGTGGCCAGTGTCATGGGAAGAATGAAAGTTCCTGTTACTGTTTTGAATATCACACAATTATCTGAGTATAGAATTGATGCACATACATCAATATATGGTGAATTGCAAGGCAAATTGTTAACAGCTGAGCAAAGAGCTGATCCTTTGCATTTTGCGGATTGCATACATTGGTGTTTGCCTGGGGTTCCTGATACTTGGAATCAGTTACTTATTGCATATTTGTAGCCCCAAATTATAATGCTACACAGACCGAAGATGATTTTTAAAAAGTTTTTCACCCCATAAACCAACAACACATGCAAATTACATGTAAGTATGGAACCACGCTGGTTGAACTATGGAAAGTGAATCAATTGCCAGAGTGATTTCTTCCATAATTAACTTTATAATATGGAAGTTTGGAGTTGTATTGTCTCAATTTTGCTTTATAAAGACATTCGAAGTTATTTACCTAGACTTGGATTGAGATGAGCTTAAATGGAACGATATGGACTGTAGGATACATATTGCTAACAGCCTAACACCAACTCAATTGGGATCTAGTGTTTTTGTGTGTAGTTTATGGTTTGGGTATGACGATTAGCATATATATTTCACAAGGAGAAAGGGTTTTGTCGAAATATTGAATCTTAGCTTGAAAGCTTATGAAGAGTTGTTGAGACAAATAATGTAACTTGAGTGAAGGGTAGCTTAGTCTATTTAAGGGATAGTAGATTACTGAATTGTTAGTTAGTTAACAATGTATGTGAGTGGTTAGAAAGGTAGTTAGATTAGTTAGTAATACTGTGTATATATATATACTGTTAGCCCAGCTAATGAAAAACAGAGCTTTCATTTCCCTCTTCTACTGTTACATTCATTCTGATGCTTCTCTCTTCTCTCTTCTCTCTTCTCTCTTCCTTAGCCAGTTAGGGCTTAATTATCTCTCACTCGATCTCCATTTCAGCATGGTATCAGAGCTCGAGCTCTGAATCGAAGCTCATAAATCGATCCTCCTCTTCTCCGTCTACTCTGTTACTTCCTTTCTCTACAGTCTCATAAATTGAGGTCTCACTTCTTTGATTCGAGGTCCAAAATTGCTTAACAATGGCGATTGATGACTTATATCACGAAAATGCAATAGTCACAGCTGAAAAATGCATCACATGCATCCTCCGATGATGAATTTGAAGAAGGAGTTACAGTTGCAGTCACTCATCCATTATACCTAGCTCCGGGCGATGCAAGTGGAATCTCGTTGAATTCATTTCAGCTAACTGGCACTGATAATTACTCTTTATGGAATCGATCGATGAGAATTGCTTTACTTGGCCGTAATAAACTAGGTATTGTTGATGGCAGGTGGCCAAAAGAACGATTCTGTGAAAAATATTGGTATGAATGGGAACAATGTAATGCGATTGTGTTGTCATGGCTGATGAACTCAGTTGCACCAGCTCTAATCAGTGGTATTGCTTATGCCACTAATGCACAGAAGGTGTGGATGGATTTACTAGAGAGATTTGACAAAGTGAATGACACTCGTTGCTACAATTTGCACAAGGAAATTGCTACCCTAAGTCAAGGTACTTCCTCTATTTCTGTCTATCACTCAAAGCTCAAGGATTTTTGGGATGAATCTGAGTCTGTTATACCCACTCCTGACTGTGATTGTGCCAAAATAAAGGAGTTTATTGTTCATCTATGAAAGCAAAAAGTGTATCAATTTCTAATGGGCTTGAATGATTCTTATTCTCAAGCTCGTAGTCAAATACTAATGATGAAGCCATTACCTTTAGTAAATCAAGCATATGCAATGCTTATGAGTGATGAAAGCCAAATGGCTGTAGCTGCTTCTGCTGGTATTTTAGGATCCTCACCAGGTGTAAATGCCACTCATTCTTATGAGTCAACTGCCCTATATAGTGCTAAACCTAGTTTTAATCCAAAATTTAGGAAGAACTATAATGTTCAGTGTAATTTCTGCAAAATGAAGGGTCACAACAAAGAGAACTGCTACAAAATAATAGGTTACCCATCAGATCATAAATTCAAAAAGAAAGGGGGAGCTGGGGCCTATAATGCAGTGGTTGAGCCTGGATACACTATGCCTATGTATTCCAATAATGCTCCACACCAGGTTCCTCAACAATATTAAATGCCTACATATCAACAGCCTCAACAAATCATGACTCAAGGAGTGGAGTATCCTCCTGCAGTGAATCATACACAGGGTCATCCAAGCACTCAAGCTCTAGCAGGATCCTCCTCTATGCATATCACGCCCCAAAATCGTGGAACGTGACCGACGCTCAACCGAGTAAACCCGACTGAGCAAGCCTGCTAGATTTCATTCTACCCAAACTAGTTCATGAACAAAGAGGGAATATTATCCCATTTAATCAAAACACTAAGCGATCTTCCACTAGCAACTTTCATTTTATTTCCGTTAATGACTTCATTAATAGTTTTTTAAAATATTACAAGTTTACAAGTTTAATGAAAAGCATGCTTATCAAATACCAACATTCTAGTCTCGACCCCCAACATCAACCATCACCCACAAACAGTCTACAGAGCCTCTAAATACAATAGAAGAGGAATAGGGAAATGCCGGCAACAAGGCTCCGGCTATACCTCAAGACGTGATGAGAATATGAACAAAAGATACATGACATGACCCCGGGATGGAGTGGGGCTCACCAAGTTTGCTGGGAAGAGAATGCCGCTATCACTAGCCGATGCCGCTCGCTGTGGAACCACCTGTATCATAAAACGATACAGCGCCCCAGCAAATGGGATGTTAGCGCCGTCGAATAGCACTAGTATGTAAGGCTAAAAGTCCTCTTTCAAAATAGAATGCCCATATACAACACATAGAAACAACAAGTCACAATCAACAATATCCAAAAAACCTGTTGAAACATAACAATTTTCAAAGTAAGAAACTAGTATATATATTTTTGGTTGGGAGATCACTAGCACCGATATTTCCACCGTCTTTGTTAGCACGGAGTCCAATCACGCCCGATCGGCTAGGCCATCTCCCCACGGACAATGTGGTTTGACATTGTGATGCGAAAGAAAGTTGTCACAAGAGTAGTACCACCATGTGCGCAACATGGAGTCTGATCTCCACCCGATCAGCTAGGCCGCCTTCCCACATATGCCGTGTGGGTTGGCTTTTTCCTTTCCGATCCACAGGTATTAGTTTCATCCCACTTTGGGGGAATAGTCACAGTTTCACCAATAATTCAGTTTCATCCCAAATCACACTCCACTCCTACACCGGCACGTGTACTTTCAGGTGTGGGCCTTATGACCCACCCTTCCTCAGTCTAGCTAATGATACTACCAAAAATATTTTTTAATTCGATTTAATATTGCACACAATTGTAGTATAAATACAAGTATACAAATATAGCATAAATACTACCATGGTTACCTCAATACCTTTCACATTTTATAGTTCTTATTAGTGTTCTCAATCTCTCTCGATAACAGTATCTCTTTGGCCCTTTGGGCCATTCACAAGGTTCATCTTTTTCATGGCACGAAGGCCGCATTTGGTTTTACACATTTTTCATCTCCTTTATTTCCAAGGATCGCCAAGCAATATCAATGTGCCAAATATTCCGGGAATCATATATTTTCGAGTTCAATAATAATAAAATCATCAAACATAAGGGATTTTTCTCGAAGAGGGACATGCCAATCAAAATTGAAATACACATTGAAGTTATAAGCAAACAGTCACCTCAATTACCCTTGAATCACCCCCTTTTCCAACATAACAAAAGCACAATTTTCAGCATCGGAATGTGTAAGAACTCGCATTACATTGAACGTATTTATAAGGCAAAGCATTATCTAAAACAACCACTTATGAGCATAATTCGGGTACAAGACCTTTAGGCCGCTCTATTTTTTTGAAGTTAGTTCATACGATTGGGTCAAGGCTTATTTCATAATTGTATCACATTTTCTCATTCGATTCAGTTCCATATATCTTTACAGGTTATCAACAAGTAGACATGTTCAATCAAGGCATTTAGTACACATAGAGCAACTAAGAACATCAAACAGATCGATTTCTTCTCACCCAATTAATATACTAATCTTCATTTAAAAAGTGACTCAAGGCTATACCATTTTGGTAGACAAATCACACTTAAACTTACAAAAATAATATGGGATCCACTTCCGAGAGAGAAAGTTTAGCCTACGTACCTCGATTGAGCTTTCCTTAAGTCCTACTATACTCCGAGACTCTTAGCAACGATAATCTTTTAGGAACATGACAAATCGAACCACAATTAGAGAGGTGATCATAGTTCTAGCTCGTTTGAGCATATTCTCAAACACTAAGTGTGCATTATGCTTTTAAAACTATTTTATCCTACCATCCCTCATCCCATCCTTAGCTCAAGACTTCACCAAATACATTAAGAACTCATGCATGCAAAATATCCACTCCCATCCTCATGGATTACCCTTCTAATGGTCTATCTTAGTTATATCTAGTAATTAAGAGCTTGGGTTACAAAACCTTACCTCTTAGGAAGAAGATCTAGGTGCCTTTCTTGACAAATATTCAAGGTCCAAGCAAGATCTTAGGAGAAATGTTGATGAAGAAACCCTTCTCCCTCTAGGACCCCCCCTCTCTCTCTAAATGCATCAGAAAATAGGCCAAAAAATGAAGGGTAGCATATAATATATCGACGCGAGGTCGGGTAAGAAAATTAGAAATTTGGAGCCCCGGAATAGATCTGCGATCGCATAAATTACATGCAGCCCGCAAAAAGGGACCGCAAAATGGCTCCCAAAACATAAATAAACTGCCCGGGTATGCGACAAGAATGCGGTCCGCATACCTGTTCTGTGGTCGCATAATGCACCGCAGAACTGCCCCTCGCAAAATTTCAAGGAGATAATGCGATGACTATGCGGCCCGCATATTGATTATGCGATCGCATAATTGGCCACATAGTTGACCTCAAAATTAACCATCAAACTGCCTCACTCTGCGACGACTATGCGGTCCGCATATCTATTATGCGACCTCATAATGGACCGCAGAACGCGCTCTTTTGAAAATATTTTTCCTTAACTTTTTAATGCATAGATCAACCCAAAGGGTCCGAACCTCGGCTCGCAAGCTCGCCGCGAAGAATTTTTACGAATTTCTAACACATATTCCTAATTGGCACTACGAGATCTCGGGTTTTTGAGCAAAATTTTCACTGGGCCTTACAATGCAGGCACAAAGACCTTACACAGATTCCTCATCACAGGCTCAAGGAAGTGGATTTCCTTTCACTAAAGAGCAGTATGATCAGATAATGCTGATTCTGAACAATTCAACCTTTACTTCCTCTGCTCAAGCAAATGTGGCAGGTACTAGCACTGCTCTCTTAGCATCTACTACTCCACAAGAGTGGATTATTGATACTGGAGCAACTAATCATATGGTGTCAGATGCTAACTTGCTTACTAAGACATCTATAATTACTCCTTCTAAGCCTAAGACAGTCTTGTTACCTAATGGAGAGGTCACTCCAGTAACACACACCGGTGATAGTAATATTTCAGACAGAAGCACACTTAAAGATGTATTCTATGTCCCTCAATTCAAGTTCAACTTATTTTGAGTCTCCAAAGCAACAAGAGACCTAAAATGCTTTGCTTCCTTTTATCCTGACTTCTGTATCTTTCAGGATCTCTTTAGTGGCAGGGTGAGGGAGATTGGTAGAGAAAGAGATGGTCTCTACTTTCTATGGAGATATGGTGGGAAGAGATTCACTACAGTATCATTAGCTGCTGCT